TTTTCCGGACGCTTTAAAAAATATCTATTATTAAACCTATCCATAAAAAAGGAGTAACTACCGATATAAACAATTTTAGACCTATTGCTCTTTTACCCACATCTGCTAAAATTTTCGAATCCGCTATGACAGAACGCCTTTACAGTTTTTATGAAAAATTCAATATTTTACACGAAAACCAAAATGGGTTTAGGAAAAACCACTCTACTATATTGGCAATTTACAAATTCATTAAAAACATAATCAAGCAAATCAATAATAAAAGGTATGCAGTAGGGCTCTTGCTCGATATGAGCAAAGCTTACGAAAGAGTTCGTTACACAATTCTACTGGATAAGCTTTATCAAACAGGAATTAGAGGGATGGCTCATAGGTGGTTTAAATCATATCTCGATGGCCGCTTACAATACGTGGAAATTGAAAATACCGACTTCCAAACTGGAAAAATTTTAAAATCTAGGTCCAACAGTATCCATGTGTCTGGATCCATACCACAGGGTAGCGTCCTGGGATGTATTCTCTTTCTTATATATATTAACAACTTGCCAAACGTTCTCAACGATGATACATGTGTGCTCTTTGCCGACGATATTTCAGTTTTAATACCTTGTTCAGATGCCTCAGAATGTGAAAATATATTGGATTCAATATTGTATAAAATCACAAAATGGTTAGAAAACCACAATTTGCTTCTCAACCTTAACAAAACAAAAATTATTCAATTTAAACCGTACCAAAAAACCGCTTTACATTTACCATATAACTTTAATAATACAAAATTAGAAACTGTAAACTCCGCAACCCTGTTGGGACTGGAGCTGGATACACATTTAAACTGGAAGCAACACATTGGTAAAATATCACGTAAGTTAGCTTCTTTTATATATGCTCTCAAACATCTTAAACGAATTACGGACATACGTACAGCATTAGCAGCATATTATGCGTACGCACATTCGATACTTTCCTATGGTATTATCGTATGGGCAAACTCCTGTGATATAGATAGGGTCTTTGTACTACAAAAGAAATGCATAAGAATTATTACCAATATAGATCAAATGGACTCGTGTAGACTATACTTTGTTAATCATCACATACTAACTCTAATATCTATCTACATTCTTGAAGCGTGTAAATTTGTCAGAAAGCATCCGGAATTCTATTCCCCCCAAATAAACAATAAACGGAACAATAGAAATTTAAATAAGCTAAAAGTACCCTTCTCTAAAATGCATTTAGTTATATCCAGCCCCCATTTAATGTTAATTAAAATATATAACCATATACCAAATCGCATAAAAAATTAAGGAAATCCTACACAATTTAATACAAAACTAAAATCATATCTTATTAATAAATGTTACTATAATATAAAAGAATTTTTTGAAGACAAATGTGACGAGCAAATATTAATTTAATTTATTTTTTACTTATTGTTTTTATATAATCTTTAGTCGCCTTTCATTAGGAATATTTATTTTGACATAATTTTCTATCTAATGGAATTTTATTCGAATTTTAAGGCAATGAACAACTAAATTATGAGATGTTTTAATTTTAAATTATTGTTAATGTTATATTCTCCTGTAGGTACATATTGCAATGCCCTTGTAGGGCGTCACATGTATACCCAAAACTTAGTTATATCTCATTGTTTGTAATGTGACACGCAATAAATATTTTGATTTGATTTGATTTGAGGATTTTTTATATTTTTATCGGTTTTAAAGTTGAACACATATTATTAATTAGACGTAAAGTTATAAACTAGAACTGAAGTTTTTACAAAAAAACAAATCACTGAGGTCCATGGGGCTCCACTTGTGACGGGTTCGATGCTTGGGCGAATCAATGAAAGGCTGACTAAGCTTGAGAACTTGATTTTATTATAAGGTAATAAGAAAAGGGTAAAGAAAAACTGTAACTAACAAAAAATGAATATAAAAACAATTCGTATGATTACCTAAATATATAATTACAATTGTTAAATAGAACAAATACATACCCCTTCTTTTGGGTTTCCTATTATATATAAACTTGGACGATATTTCACGAAGATATACTTTTAGATTAACAATTTTCTTATTTAAATTATAATAACTTAATTATTATTACATTTTTTATATTTTAATTTATATGATTATATTATCAACTGACATTCATCTAGAGCATATTTGATTAGTCAAAATTTCAAATGACGAAAGGTGAATAATAAAAAAAATGATGTTAAATATCAAAGACAAAAAGTTTGCATGCGGATACCTGGGAAATAAACGGTGGTGCGGCACACCGTTACAAAACAGCAACCACTTAAATTTTTATGTTAAATTAGGTACATTGAACTAAATGGCACATTTCATTTAACCGATGTATATTGCATCCAATTAATGCAGAGCACATGTTGGTTGGAGAAACACTCCCAACTAGAGGGCTTTGAAACTCGGAAAATTGGCTGGTCGTATTCCAGCGCTTTCACTCGAACAATTTTCTGTTTAATTTGGATTTTACTCATATAAGACGCAAAAGACGACCTCGGTGGTCTCTTTCGATTCTCGGTCACGTCAAAATAGAAAATAAACTTTTCTTTACAGTCTCGTGTCTGGATGTTGTGGTACTTTCGTTATTTCAAATGTTTCGCTATACGAGGACGTTACAATTGCAAAGATTAAGCAACGATTAAGATTAAGCCGTTGGTCTCGGCTGTATCTGCAGTTGTAAACAACCACTAATCTACATTAATAAGCTATCAAAAAAAAAGGAAAACTTTGGAAAACATTTTTTCACCGAAATTCCAGCTGAGCAAGTAAGTGAAAACCAGTAGAAAATCTCCGCCTTTTTGAAGTCTTTTAAGAGCAAAACGCGATTCTTCTTATTTATGAGCCTAAAGAAGTTCTCAATAGATAAAGAAGTCAGTAATAAATATTGGATGATTTAAAATTGCTTTCTATAAGTTTAGTTAAATAATCGATGATATAAAATTCCCCCGCCAAAACCCGACAGCAAGAAAAGCAAAAGTGAAACACATATTTGTTTCTGATTTTCTATATAACATAAAAACGAGACCGCCGCATTCACGGCAAACCAAACGGGATCCAGGCATAAATCTTTATGGAACACAACAAAAAAAATATGTCTCCCAATCTAGATACCGGGATATTGCGAAGTAATCCAGTGCGTGTGTTCTGTGCACGTTTTTTTCCATCGCGCAGGCAGATAAGCGAAACAGGAATATTGCCATAAATCTTTCTCGCCATATAGACGAACGCGGGTGGTTATTGGAGCCCGGTTTCGGGACACCGTTCCTAAACCGAATCTCATTTCCTACGAACGAAACAAACGCAGCCTATCTAGATGAGTATTTGTCAATACGACGTTTCTTGATGTGTTCCGCGCGAAAAAATAGAAACCAGATAGATTATTGCAAAGTATTTCATACGTTATTTTAACTAAATTACATTGTTATATGTATAAATGGATTGATGATTTCAAATTATATCCTCAGCGCTGAGGCTAGGCCTTCCCTGTGAACGAAATCGAATCGAATACAATAGGGAAGATGGGTAATTTATTGAATTTTTATTAAAACTGTTTTAGCTTGTATATGCCTGTAAATAGAAAAGTGTAAAAAAACGTATTTCACCACCCGCCCGTCATTATATAGATACTGTCCTCAAAATCTACATAATAATTGAAGTTCTTATTTTAATTTAAGAAACTCCCTCAATGAAATTATAAAGTTATTATTAAAGCTTTGACCAGTCTCCCTATAACGTCGCTTTAAAAAGCCATTAATATGAAAAATTGCTTTTTAAATGTTAAATAACGTATTTTCTTTGAGCACAGGACATCTAATTCGTTGCGAGGTCAAAAAGCGGGTAAAGATAATTCATGGGTTCCGGAAAAAATAGAGCACAAATTTTAATATTATATTGCTAATAGAAAAAAAATATAAATATATCAAGTTTTCATTATACGAGTATTTTTAAGCATGCTGACATCGGATTTAAGGATTTTTTTCTTTTTTATACATTGCTACATAAGATAGACTACCTAGCTTTTTTTCCCGCGACTACAGTCGTGTCGTGTATGATATATTTTTAGCGATCAAATTCAAATGAAAAACGTCATACGTACGAAACATATCTAGGCAATTGAATAAGTTTAATTAAATTGTATATTATTTTTTAATATTCCATCTATTACATGCAAGGAGCAGGTCGCGTAAAGCAGAGTGCTCCAGAAATACACCGACGTAGCTTACAATAAAAACTATAACTGATACTCGGCGCCGTCGCACGCGCACCTAATATTAGACGAGACACGACCAAAGATTATGCAACTGCGTAGATCATATGTAACGGTCGTTTTTACAAAACTGTCTCATCAGTTTGTTAAAGAAGGAAACGTTCTGCATTTAATTTTGAATTTAACTAACTAATGCTAATCAATTGGAGAATGCTTTTGTAATCCATATGACGAACTATTAACATGAGTAGTATAGTAATCCTTAGTAAACAATAAAATACAATAATTTTGTGTTTCAAATAATTTAATTAACTCAAAAAGTCTGTATCCAAATTTTTAAACTTGCGCGTTGCATTATACTCGTATTAGATTGTATACGACGGGTGACCACAGCCGATGTAACCTAGTCGAAACGTCGGGAAATATAAGTAAGTTAGACCTATCAAAATCTATCACATTAATACCCGTCGTATACAATCTAATATAAGTCTGTATCCAATTATTACAGTATATACATATATCAACAACATCTTTATTTAGTGATCGTGGCCGAGGAAAACTTGTAATTGATAGGTTACGTCAAAAAATAAAGAAAATGCCGTCTAAAGTTAATTTATTAAATGACGAAAGAGGCTAATTAGAATAATAAATTCCAAAAATCCACAATCTCAGGTACCTGAAAATGAGATACATCTGTCTATTTTGCACTTCTATAATCTTTGAATATCATAGCAATCTCACTGAACAGAATCAGTACACCACCGGATTTTCAACACGACGTTACAGTTTGTTAGAAAAACTAACGGGTCATACACCAATTTGTTTATTTATTAAACAATTAGTTTATAATAAGATACATAAAATATAGTGTAGTATAGTTATTGATGCTCTAACATTGTGTTGTACAAGATGGTATTGAGGTGTAGTGTGATTAAGTTTCCAGGATTTAATATTGTTCGGATGCTGTAATGTAAGTAAACTGAAATAAATAAAATACATAACTATTCTAATACATTATATTCACTATTTTAATATCAAACGCACAGGCTAATCCATTCTGTTTTCATCTTTTGTATTTTAAGTCTTACAAACAAATTAACTTCAGAAGATAGATACGACAACTTGACGGAATAAACGTTGGACTAATTATTGTTTGAAAAATACAGAAAAGGTGTCTTCCAAGGGATTGACTGGGGCCAAGATTTTTTTAGTTGTGAAGTTTTTTTATTTTTAAATCATTGCAGGTCTATTTAAAATTGAGATATAAAATGTATGTTTAAAATAAATCTCAATTCTATACGATATATTATTAAATTAAATAGAAGATTGATCACGAAACCAAAGCGTGCATGAACTGTCAGCAACGATTGGAACCTCTTAGTAGCATAAGATGGCATACAAAGGCGAAGTTCAGTTACCGATTTTGCGATGCTTCTGTGTAAACTTATTAAGTGTATGTACCTAAGTGGTGCAGTATTATATGCCCGAGAAGTTTGAGCGTTGTATTGGCCATACAAAATGCTCGTGCAGGATACTATTCAAACGCAAGTTCAAGGGAGTTCGCTCAAGTTGCGTCCGTAATTCTGTCATCGTATTCTAGTGTTTAGTAATTTTGTAGTCATTTTATGAATCTAGGACCAAGTGTCATAAACTTTTATGTGAACTTATGTATTTTTTTCTTTAATTTACTATGAAGAAAATTAATATACCGATTAATCGAATTTCAATACACAAAAATGAGCGTTCAAAACGTAGGTACTGAAGCATGCACAGCACATGACAACTGCGTCGAATCGTTAACGTTACCGCGTAAACTACGTTTAATAGAAAGAGACAGATAATGTATTGCAGTCTTCTTTCTCTTTGTGAGGGGCCGCCAGAGGCTTGGTGTACATACCTACTTTATTTACAATACTTTTACAGCTAAAACCCGTTCAAATGTACATCTATTGATATTTTTTAATTTTTATATCTTTGTCAATCTATAAGTCTTCTAATCATAACGAACATCAGTTCCGTGGTTCCTGATTGTTGGCCGCATTGACGTGATTTGACGTAACACCGGCTAATTTCGTAAAGCTCACTGGCAACGGAACGTAAATACTGGTGAATACAGCAATCAGAAGCGAGAAACGTCAGCAGGCGTCGTGTCCGTATCCGTTTATGTTACAGCTTTTTATTAATTAATGTAGAAAAAAATAGTTTTAATAGAAAAGAGAGAACTACTATTTATGTAGATGAAAGTTGGGTAATTATTATAGTGATGTAGAAATGATGATCCCAAGAAGAATAAAAAAATCACATTCAACCTCAAAGATCCCCCTCCGTCGTCGCCCCGAAAACCCCTGCCGCCGAAACGAAACGAGAGCACTAGACTGTCGTCGCCCAAAAAACTGGCGGACTCGAACAGTAACCCTCCAGAAGAATTTCTGAAAGATCTTCAAAGGGTCATTATAGTACTAATATTATTTCATGTGAAAAAGTTTTAATCTCAGTTTACTGATATATCAATGGCAGAGTGACAAAACCTAGTTTACTAGATTTCCATACCGAGACAAAGGCATTCCTTATACATGGAATTAAGAAAAATGGACCATAATCAGTCCACGCGGGTAGAGTTTGTGTTATGTGCCTTCCAAACCACGGCGGAGTTCGAAATGATAATTTTTTGGTCATTCGACGTAGAACGTTAATATCGCATACGCGTAGTCGCGTTACGATTTAATAAGTTAAAAAAAATACTCTCGTCATAAGTACCAGGCTGTACTCGAAGGTTTCACTCTCCGTTAACCGGACCTTACGGCAGGGAATGTGTCAGATTTTCCCTCGCTAAGGGACTTACCAAATGGTAACACCATTGAGAAGTTAATAAATTTTGTTTATTCCGCCATCGTGTCTATCGTTTTTCCTAAAGATTGACTGGGAGAGAATGCCATTAGCACTTAGCCCTCCTTTTGTAACAAATCTTTACTAGTTAATAAATAAATAATAATCGGGCGGGGGGGCTACTCACTAAAAACCCATGGCATACCCTCAGTCGGGGGTGTCCCCGGACCTGAGAAACCACCGGAGACATATTTCTCAACTATTTAGTACTCAATTTTATTATCAACTAGCTCACCCGACAGACTTCGTCCTGTCAAAAAGATTTGTAATGTGGCAGTTTTTTTAACGCGACATTAAACTCCTCCAACTATGTATTCTGTGCTCCAACGCACACACGCACATTGTTTTGATAGATATGATCTTTGACGTTAGGAACACACCTACATTGCTTAGACAACAGTGAGTGCTTGTAATTTAATATGAACTTTATACCATAGCAATAAAGCTCAAATTGACTACGTTTTAGTTACAAATCATTTGTATGGGAAAAAGAAAAGGGCTATTTTTAGGGTTTTTCCAGCAATAATTCTAATTTTTCTCGCCGTAAAAACCATCCTTGAACTTCAACGAACATTTTAAAAAAAGATTTGGCCAAATTGGTCGAGGCGTTGTTGAGTTATGCGCTTACCAACACATTTTGCGATTCATTTTTATATATAAAGAAGATAATGTATATTCTAATCAACTGAAGAAATTAAAATAATGACGAATTGATAAGGTGTATCAATTTCCGATAATATTCGTTCGCATAAAAACCATTGATGTGGCCGCATATAACTTTGATCATTGCAACATCGGCATCATCTTTAACCGCCGTAACATTGTGGACTACCACCAAGTGACGTCATAACGTCTCGGTGTCGTAAATACATTTACCTCACCGCGTATTTACGACTGTCGTTAAAATGTAACATGTTTTATAGTGTGATTATTGATGTGACGTGTGTGGAGGTGAAGAATAAATTATCATTTATTTCATTCACAAACAAGTGTTACATGGAACACGAATTGGAAAATTTGGAACTATGGAAAACTTTACAGGACCACTTAGTGTTGGCAAAATAAATTAATATCAGCTATTGTAAAGGACATCGCCGAAAATGGCCCCAATACCATTAAATATTAAAACTTCAACAATAATTACTAATTTATTTATTAAATTGGAATCAAATATTTATTTGACACGGACAAGCTGCGATCCAAAATTAATATCTAAAAGTACTTTAACAGTAACATTTTTATTCGCAAATATTCACATTCAATATACTTAAATTCTATTGAGTCAGATGGATGTAATTTACACGTCACATCAAGAAGATCATTTATTTTTATTAGATAACCTTTAAATCATCGAACACAAAAACATTAAATTAAATTGACCGAAAATAAACTTAAAACTAAAAGCGCCATCTCTTGGTGATTTTCCTACTAAAACATAAGGACATAAAAACTGAGTATTATACAAACTAAATTCATTAACTGTTGATAATTCACTCTTGTTTATTCAGAAAGATTGATATACGACATATTCTAAAAACTACTTTTAGTCACCTTTATATTTCTCGTAAACATATTAACATCATGTCATTTATGTATTTAAGGCGCCATCTTTTGATGTAAACCATCAAAAAGCTATAGGTTTTTTAATTTTAAGGTTATCAATAGGTATATTATTTAACTATTAGAATGATTTATTTGTCTATTGATTGACTTAGAAACTTTTACAAATCACAACGAAAAACCGACTTTCTTAAAGTTGAGTTTTTTTGCTTCGACAATATAGACATCAATATCATATCATGTACTTAGAGTGCCATCTCTTGGTGGTTTTCCAAACAAATTATAACCTCAAAATGAATTATATTTTGCGTGATAATAAGTTCTAAAACTCGGTCGCGGTATAATAAATACATAATGAGAATTAGTTAGTGACACACAATAAAATAAGTATTTTCCTATATTTTTTTGGCTCTGGGGCCACCAATGTATGGACGTTGAGCAATGTCCTTTGCTATATGAGAAATAAAACTCTTTTTATTTTATTCTACTACCCTAAGTTTTTGGCAGCAAAATAATTCTTTGCCTTTGTTTTTCGTAGTGATCGTATGAATGACGATACTATAGGTAGGTGTTAGCGGTTTTTGAAAATCTCCAATAACAGCTGACTCCATTTCAACCAAAATATTCTTTCGAAAGTGCTCGGAGAAGTACAAAACGTATATTTAAAAACATTCTTAATGGACTTCAAAATTAAGCTACATTTATGTTTCCGTTATGAAATAGATTCTGTTACGCGATTATGGAGCTCCTTAAAAGTGGCGTAACTACAGCATGGCGTAACGCAAGTCGGTAAAATGCCACGGGCCCCCAGCTAGAAGGGGCCCCCGGTCAGAGGAGACTCCTTACTCCTGACATTTATTATTACCCAATTAGTAAAAAAAAAAGAAAAGAATATCCGATGAATTTGCCACGGGCCTCAAACGGTATAGTTACACCAATGCTCCTTAACGTCCCTGGATATTTATTGAATCGTTAGTTTCTGATCGCATAAGACGGGTCCCACCTAACAAAACGTTATTCTCATTCGTCACGCGTCTCGCACTAGCACACGTCTGCATTTAGTTTGAGTTTTACGACCATCCGAGTTAAACCTGTGTAAAGTTGTTTTTGGACGTGTCAGGTGAGGTGGTGAAACGGTTCGTTATGTTATTTTTGGCTGACAGCGTGTCATTATTATTAGAACATGATAGCTGACCCTCGTCGTGTCTATTTCTGAGTGTCGATTACAGTGTCGACGCTAAGTCCGTTTCCGATTATCATCAGGTCAGCAGGCGTACCGCTAACTCGAATGATTTTGACATTGTCCATATCGAATTCAATCTAAATGTAAACCGCGTTTAATACTTTACTTTATTGAACGTTGATTGCGTTTTAACTCAGTCCGATGTCAGGCAAATCGTAGTCAATCGAATTACTAAGTAGACGGCAGATTTACTTGAATACACATCGGCGATAGACCTACCGCACAATTTCACTGGCTTAAATTGGCAATTGGCTGAATTGAATCAAAAGACACTCAACACA